GTCCTTGTTCATCCCCTGTTCATGACTTAGAGTGTGGTCCTGGTTCTGTGTCTTAGTTCTTAGATCTGTTTACTAGTTTGCTGTATTCGGTGTTCTGTTTCCTTCATCTTGGTCTGTTGTCATGTGTTCTGGTTTCAGAACACTTGTCAGTCTGTCTGTGTCCTGTTCTATTTCTGCATTTTAGTCTTGTTATGTTCAGGTGTTCATCTCGTGGCAAGTTACAGTCTTGCCTTGCTTCCTGTTTTATTCTGTAGTGGTCTGTGTTTGCTGTCTGTGTCTAGTTTCAGTAGTTCTGTTGCTTGTGGTGTTTGTTCCTGCCCTGTGTAGCTGCCTGTAACCCTGCCTGCCTGTGCTTTGCATCTGTGTTTCACCGTGCTCACTTGAATTTAGTTTTGGACTCGCTTTGCTTGAATTAAACCATTTAACTAAACCTGCTTTGCTCTGGTTTCCTGCGTTTGGGTCCACAACCTGCTCCACATCACAACACCCCATGACAGAATGAGTCCTTGACAGTATGTTACCTGTCAATTAATGTTTAAATCTGAAATAGGAATCCCCAACAGAGCAAGATGTTGGAGATAAATATGTGCAACTGAGCATTTTTTTTTTTTCTGGTTTCCCAAAACCTCTACTCCACACTGTTGGTGGTCATGTGACACACTGTTGAAATCTCAAAAGCTTTAAAACCTTTGACTTTGGAGGTGAAAATAACAGTTTTTTAGAAAATGGCAAGTACATCTATCTATCTATCTATCTATCATTAGGAACACCTGTTCAATTTCTCATTAATGCAATTATCTAATCAACCAATCACATGGCAGTTCAGTGCATTTAGGGGTGTGGTCCTGGTCAAGACAATCTCCTGAACTCCAAACTGAATGTCAGAATGGGAAAGAAAGGTGATTTAAGCAATTTTGAGCGTGGCATGGTTGTTGGTGCCAGACGGGCCGGTCTGAGTATTTCACAATCTGCTCAGTTACTGGGATTTTCATGCACAACCATTTCTGGGGTTTACAAAGAATGGTGTGAAAAGGGAAAAACATCCAGTATGCGGCAGTCCTGTGGGCGAAAATGCCTTGTTGATGCTAGAGGTCAGAGGAGAATGGGCCGACTGATTCAAGCTGATAGAAGAGCAACTTTGACTGAAATAACCACTCGTTACAACCGAGGTATGCAGCAAAGCATTTGTGAAGCCACAACACGCACACCCTTGAGGCGGATGGGCTACAACAGCAGAAGACCCCACCGGGTACCACTCATCTCCACTACAAATAGGAAAAAGAGGCTACAATTTGCAAGAGCTCACCAAAATTGGACGGTTGAAGACTGGAAAAATGTTGCCTGGTCTGATGAGTCTCGATTTCTGTTGAGACATTCAGATGGTAGAGTCAGAATTTGGCGTAAACAGAATGAGAACATGGATCCATCATGCCTTGTTACCACTGTGCAGGCTGGTGGTGGTGGTGTAATGGTGTGGGGGATGTTTTCTTGGCACACTTTAGGCCCCTTAGTGCCAATTGGGCATGGTTTAAATGCCACGGCCTACCTGAGCATCATTTCTGACCATGTCCATCCCTTTATGGCCACCATGTACCCATCCTCTGATGGCTACTTCCATGCACCATGTCACAAAGCTCCAATCATTTCAAATTGGTTTCTTGAACATGACAATGAGTTCACTGTACTAAAATGGCCCCCACAGTCACCAGATCTCAACCCAATAGAGCATCTTTGGGATGTGGTGGAACGGGAGCTTCGTGCCCTGGATGTGCATCCCACAAATCTCCATCAACTGCAAGATGCTATCCATCAATATGGGCCAACATTTCTAAAGAATGCTTTCAGCACCTTGTTGAATCAATGCCACGTAGAATTAAGGCAGTTCTGAAGGCGAAAGGGGGTCAAACACTGTATTAGTATGGTGTTCCTAATAATCCTTTAGGTATGTATGTATGTATGTATATATATATATATATTGTAGAGGAAGAACATGTTGTTGGGTGTGTGTGTGGGCCTGGCCTGTGAATTCTGAGCAGAAGCTTGTGTATGGGTCTCCATTTGTGCCGTTCCAAGTCCTCGCATTAATCTTTTGTAATAACACTTAAATATAACTCTCTTGCACGTCTAAGCATGCTGGAATTGTGCTGAAACGCTTAGAAGAAGTAATTCACTGACAATCACTCACAGCCTGCCACAATGCAGCTTCATTACAAATCAAAGCCTCTTAATGATGCCATTCTTTTGATGCTGAATTTCAACCATTGGTAATTCTTTGAGAAGCTGCTGGCACATTTGATTAGGAGATTAGTAAAAACTGAAAATTGGTAGGAGCACAAAATAAGTAAAGCAGCTTTGCGCTGTGTTTACAGATTTTAGCTGGGTCCGCTGAGAGAGGGCAGGGTGTGTGGTCGAGGTCTTTAAGTGCTACTTCAGTCACACTCTCAGGATTGGAGCTCTGATCTGCTTAGATCAGTAGGCTGACAATGGTAGTGGCTGGTATACTCTTTTGGGTATTTTTTTTTTTTGTTTTTTTTTTGTAGACAACTAACCTGCATTGAGTTATGAGTCTGTATTAAGTCATGTTAAAGGAATTTACGAAGGCTCTGTAATGTTAGAACTAGCAGTTAATAACAGAGCTGGAGGATTACACTAAAGCACCAAACCAACACTTTCCCCAGAATCATTTGGAGACTCACACTAGCCATCCCATGACCCAGCAGCACTGGCTTCTGACCTGCTGTGAGGCATGATCAGCTGACCTCAATTTGCACTTCAACAGGGCAAAACAAGCCTTCAAAGAAAAGCATAATTTCCAAAATTCCTTCTGTCTGAAATCAGTGTCATAAAATACTGTGGAGTCAGCAGGGTGGAGTGAGGAGGGGCAGTCTGACGTGAACTTAATAAAAGTCTCTGATAATGGAGGTCAGATGACCACAAACACTCACACATCTGTTAATGTTCTTCTGTCTCTACAAGTCCTGCATTCAAAATCCTACTTAAGTAAAAGTGCATAAGTATTATCAGCAATAATTTATCAAAAGTAAAAGTGCTTGTTTTGCAGAGAAATGGCCCCAGTGACTGATACATTATTTGACATATGAAATTATTAGTGTATTTTAAGTGTTACTACTGATGCATCAATGTGTAAGTGACATTACAGAGTTGTAGTTGGTCGATGTGGAGCTAGTTTTAACTACTGTGTATATAAGGTTACTCTACAATGGTTCACAAAAACAAAAATTTGCTACACAAATTAAATATTTTTTTTTATCTTTGCTTTTTAATAAAATATTTCCTAATTTGACTAATTTGGGCCTTTTATGTATAAAAATGACACAATCTGATGATCGGAAATCTGTAAGGGGTCAAAACCACAATGCATTGTATTTTACAATTTTTTTTTTCTGGTAAATCTTAATCTGGAAAAAAAACTGTAATAAAAGCAAAGTACAACCATCCCTCTAACAAGAAGTCAAGTAGCAGAAAAGGGGCCTCAAATTTGGACCAGTTACTGATTTATAAGACCAAGTCCCTTTACCACCTGTCGCGATGTCCACCTCAGTCCTGTTTCGGCTCATTCTTCCTCTTCCCCCATTCCCATTCAGTTTCTTTCCATTAGTTTTTCTCGATTGCCTCGATGACCTGGCTCAAGTGGCCCCAACAAAAAGGGAGATAAGCCAAACAAAATATGTGTATTTAAACTAAACTAAGGGAAATGAAGAATTGTGCTAAATTAAAGTATGAAGTTTGAACATGTGTGGTTTCAGTAGTGTCTGCGCAGGATGATGGATGGGTGTGTGTTTTAGTATGCAAGAAGCAAGATAAATACAGCACAATCAACAGTCCAAGAAACCAAAGAACACCAAATCAAAGGTAGAACCTGGGGAAAAAAACCAGAGGGGAGTCAGCCCACAGGAAGGTCTATCACCTCAGCCCAGCAGCAGCTTCCTAAGAAAGAGAATGAGGAGTTACAAATACTCTACAGGTCAATTGGCCCTGGTGCCCAGAGTTACTGCAATCGACCCCAAAGAGTCATAACTGATCACACACCAATCAGAATAGATGGATAACAGGGCCTGAGTCCGTTCATTCAGTTTTGGAACAACGGAGAGAGAGTTGAAAGAAGAGGTGGAGGACACCTGAGAGCAGGAGGAGGAAGATGTGACGGAGGAGGAGGAGGAAATGCCGGAGGAGCAGAGAGAGGAGGAGGTGGAGGACGAGATTCTCCAGCCTGTCCCAGACCAAAGACAGGATGCTGGGGCAGAATGAGTTTTTGTTGTTGTTTGGTGAGTTGGACTGTACAGTACACAGAGGAATAAAAATGTGGCCATGATTAAATTTGTTTTGTTGTGTTCAGCATATGAAATGGTTTTTGAGGGGGAGAACCAAAGGCAACTTTACTAATAACCAATTTTTGTAGTATTGTTTTGAATTTATCTCACCAGTGTGTCAGACTGTGTTGCTGTGTGTGTGTGTGTGTGTGTGTGTGTGTGTGTGTTTGAGGCCAAAGTTTGATTTTTCAGCAAGATTGAATGGTTTTGAGTGGAGAGTTTCATTTTGACCTGAAAATAGAAAGAATGAGGAATTGGGTGGGAAGTTAAGGATTTGTGTTTAGAGTTCTAAGAAATGGAGGCATCATTTCAAGAAACGTGTTGAAGCAATCAAGAAAAACTGTAATATCATTCTCCTCTCATCCACCGACTGACACCTGTTCCAGGCTCTACATTCAATTAAAAACTAATGTGGTGTTAAATTTTTCCGACTGTGTTTTAAAATAACAATTTAAAGTAAAATATTAAAATTTTAAAAGAATGAGCCAACACCTTCCTTTGTGCTTCAAAGCACGACTATGATGATACAGACAGAATTGCACCTGAAATGTGACATGACCTTGGTTGTGGTTGTTATTACTTTTGGATCACAAGAGCTCAAATAGAAGAGTTTGTTCTAAATTACCACTGCTGCAGTGGCCTATCATGTTAGTAGTGTGTGGCCAGACATTTTAAAACTTAAAAAATGTATTTTATTAACTGAGTCAGGTACATACTACAACTGAAGAGGCTGTAATGTAATCATCCATTGTTTGCAATTCATTTTAGGAGGTGCAACATTTAGCCACACGAGGGTGCTCTACTGATTCTAAGAGTGTCTCCCATGTACTCCACAGCATATTCTTCAGTAAAACACACTTTACCTAACTTTTTCAGGGCTGAAGCTGATGTGGGCAACAGACAAACAACACAAACAGTCATACATAATATATGCAGTACATTTTCTCTGTCTCAGTATGGCTCTGGGTTAGCTGCAGTGCCTTGAATAATGTCTCTGATTCTCTGCGTGTCTGTCTGCAGCGCTTCATCATGAGGGTTGATCTTTAGAGCAGCTTGGTAGTCTTGTAGCGCTGAGAAAACATGTCACAGGTAGATCAGCTGACAGCACAGAGTAGGACATGGTTACCTGCCATTCAGTCATCACTCACAAAATATGCTACAGTGATGTATTGTTACTATACCATCATGTTTTTAAACACAAGGCAAAAAGCATCTATGTTTGAAGCTTTATCACTGAGTGTATCATTTAAATCAAATTATTAAATCCAAAAGTGTACAGTAACAGTGCACCAAATGAAAATGACTGCTGCTGTTCAAACCTTCTGCATAGAGCTGTAGCTGGCAGAAAGCAGATCCTCGGCGGACGCTGGCTCTGGCTCTGGCAGCTGCGTTTGCAGCAACTGGTGGAGTCAACAGATCAAGTGCCTACAGAAGAACATATGGGCAGATGTTTATTCCTACTTTAAATAAGAGCTTAATACAGCTTTACTATCAGATTATTCAGTAAGTGGCTTATATAATACAGCCCCTTTCACAGAACAATGTCATAAAATGCTTTACAAGAGTAGATAAATTAAAGCCATATACATTATTAGAGACAACAATAAAACAAAACCAAGAACATAAAAATGGTAAATATTACTAAAAACATAAGCAACAAGGACATAAAACAGTAAAATAATCAAGCAATAAAAATATTCAACATCATGAAAATCGTAAAATAGACAGCCAATAAAATGTAGGCAGTGACAGACTGTAAAACACATGTTTGCAGCACGTGCAAGACAAAGGCCAGCTGAAATAAGTTTTTTTTTTTAAAGGCATCAACAGAGACAGCAGAACGTAAGTCTAAAGGGAAGAGTGTTCCACAGCAATAAGCCCTGGTTTAAAGACCTAAATGGCTTAGTATTGATATATAGGTGAAGCAGGTCATAAATGTACCCAGGTGTCTGACCATTCAGGGCTCAGTGTCATGTTCAAGAAACCAGTTTGAGGTGATTTGAGCTTTGTAACATGGAGCATTATCCTGCTGGAAGCAGCCATCAGAAGATGGTACACTGTGGTCATAAAGGGATGGACATGGTCAGCAACAAGACTCAGGCAGGCTGTCGCGTTTAAAACAATGCTCAACTGGTACTAAGGGGCCCAAAGTGTGCCAAGAAAATATCCCCCACACCATTACACCACCAGCAGCAGGCTGAACTGTTGATACAAGGCAGGATGGATCCATGCTTTCATGTTGTTTATGCCAAATTCTCAAATCAACCCGTCTGGCACCAACAACCACCCTCCCCTCTCTTCCCCATTCTGATGCTTGCTTTGAACTTCAGCAAGTTATCTTGGTTGAGCCTACATGCCTAAATGCATTAAATTGCTGCAGTGTGATTGGCTGATTAGCTATTTGTGTTAACAAGCAATGAACCGGGTGTACCTAATGAAGTGGCCGGTGACTGTATAGCTGGATATCATCTGGGTAAAAGTGATAAGGGACAGCTTTTAAATTTGCTAATGAAATGACCTAAGGGGAATATATACAAAGAAAATAAAATCAGGCTCAACACAGAACACATCACAGGAAAGAGTTTTCAGTTTCAGACAGAATAATAATGTAATAACACAGAAAAGCTCTGAGACATAGGCCAGTTGTTTTAGAAAATAGCTTTCTTTTTAAAAACTAAACTACATATTTGTGAGACATTTTTTACCAATATAGAAACCAACGGGCTTGGGGCTCAGTGTCACGAACCATTTGGTGTGTTAATGGGATTCCTTGACAACAAGGAAAATATACATCAACACTATTCAAAATTCTGCTCTCACTACAATCGTCCCTCATTTAAAACAGTCACTGTAATAAGCCTGAATGCAAACGTCTTCTAGAAAAATCCAGTTTGAATGGACCTCTGTGAGGACTAATACTGGGGGCCAATCTGCTAGGTCATTTGGTGGAGCAGCAACTGTTCCTTTAGGGTCTGAGCTGCTTGTACCTGATGCTGGCTGTAAATTTCTGGCTGTGCTCATACTGACTGAGGCTGCCTGTGTTTCACCTGGGTCTGTGTGACCTGTGCTGGTACTGGCTGACGATCCAGCATCTACTCTACTGACAAACTTACGCATAGCTCCTGTAAGTAATAGATCACAATACTGGCTAGATGTTAATGTTATCATGTCCATCAGGCCCAATCGACTTGTTCCCCCGGTTTCCCGTAATACATTTTCAAATGTAAAATACTATGACTTGGTTGAATATGTGATGCTTATTATGTACTGAGATGTGCATCCATATTGGCCAGTCTGCCCCGCTATCATTTTAGGATTCAATGCCTATCCACTGCTTCCAATTTTGCATTAGTCTTGTTTTAAAATAATGTGTGGCTATGAGGGGTGCCATCACATCCGTGTATTGACTGGATGTGTGTATACATGCACATGAACACACGTTCACATGCGACGCAGTTATGTTTTCCGAGGTATAAACCCTGTTGCCCGTCAGTGTTTATCAATCGTAATAAATGTATTTCACTCTAACATTGTTCAGACACAAAGTCTGAAATGCGCTGCTCAGCTGGTTAGCAGGACAGACAGACACATTACACACATTGGCACATTAACCAAACAGGAGTGTTATCTGCTGACATCTGACTTGGAGAGAACACATGTTCACCTGACTGCTGTCATTGAGTTTTTTCTCTTCTCGTGCCCAGAAGGATCGGCTCGTTTCCTGTTTATCCCCTTATCGAAGTTGTAAACACTGTTACTGACTTTGACGTTTGACACAACAGTAAGGTAGGGCCCAGATTGCGTAGTAAACGTGCCCTACACAGCAGTGCGCAGACCTTCCAGGTATTATAAACCCTGTTGCAACATGTTGTTCCCACATGCTCAGTGTGCGATGTGCAGATAAAGATAATGTAAAACACACAGACAGTGCAGACCTGAGAGGCATCCTCAATGGCTTTGTGAAAATTCCTCAGCTTCAGATGACATGCAGCCCTGTTTGAATACAGAGCTGGGATCTTTCTGTTGAGCCTGATAGCCAGGTTGTAGGCATTCACTGCACCCAGGTAGTCCCCAGCCACAAAACATTTGCTGAAGGAAAGAGCCAAGAGTCAGTTCAGAAATAAAGAAGTTCTTTTGAATAGTTTTGAGAGCACAATTAACTTACTCTCCTTTGTCCTTTAACCAGTCAGGGTTCCTCTGTTCTTTCAGGTCCATCAGATCTTCAACATCTGCATTTACTGCACGTCTGGCTTCAGCTTGTTTTTTGAGCCACTGGTTTGTTAAAAAAAGTGAAATCTTATCCGTGCTAATTCCACTCACAAAGCATATGTTGGATGGAAAACTTAGATCAGAGACAATTTAGTTTGTTAGTTTATGGATAACATAATTAATTTATGGATGTTATGTCCCCCCCCAGTGAAACAGACATTCACACATATTTACTTGAAATCTTTTTCCTGTTTGCTGGTGGGTGCACAGGACTATGTTTCGACAAATATGTGGACAACGCTGACATTTATCCTCGCAGGCATCACTAAAAATGTTCCACTGTTGATAGCAGATCAGCAAATACAATACAGGTAGAAACCGGAAACTGGTGAATACAGAAGTAGTGTAAAAGCCCTTTGAGTGGTCGAAAAGACTAGAAAGGCATTTACATTTACATTGGTATAACCACCAGAGCTTACTGGCCAGGATGCATCCAAATTAAAAATAATTCGAGTTGAGAGTCACAACTCACAAGTCAAGACAATCTCCAGCTGTCTGAGGAGCTTTTCCTCCATTGGAAACTATCCAATCAGCACACTCATTCACCACCTATCCAGCTCTGCATTTAGGCATTTCGAGTCCTTCTGCATATCACAACTCATTAGGACCCTTTCACCTGAACACAACTCTGCAGAAGAAGAAGTAAACACCCCAGGGAGCACACACATATTTCCACAACCCTGGTGCAATTATAATTGGTAATTCTAATTGGCAATTCATTAACAAATTATTAGTTAATGCCTGCACCCACGAGGCCGACTGACAAAAAATGGATCTGTGGATCAGCAGGCTGCCTTGTGAGCACTCCCCCTTGTGAGTTTTGGGAAGGTGCGGGAAAAAGTTAGTTTGGAGCCCTAAATGTACTCAGTCACCAAGTGACCCTTCGCTAGGCCACGCCCCCCTTAGTTACTGTTGCTAAGTCCGACAAACTGTTGGACCTGTCAGACTTTTATCTTGGCGTTGCCAGTGTCTTTCACTGCACTCCCTGGAGAAATATTGTCCAATTTTTGGGACAAAAAGATCTCAGAAAGAAGCAGACAGTTTTGCAGTTGCATTGTGATTTTGAACGTTGTTTTCTGGCTGTCAAACTGACGTGAAAAAAATAATGATAGAAGCTAATGCCTACCAAGAGAGTAAAAGTGAACCACTGCGTTACCTGACTATTGCGAAAGAGGACAACATTACTAAAGATCACACTGTTCCCATATAGCTGGGTAGGTCTCTGTTCACTATACAATCGTTAAAAAGCAGAACTGTAGCACTTTATAACGTAACATTCAGTAGGAAGTTAGCCAGTGTTGGCTAACTAACATTACATTAGGAACAATCCACAGCCAACATTTTTCTGGATTTGTTGTAGGTTTTGGAAAGACAATAAATCGCTCTCTGGGTAACAACTGTAACTATTACAAGATGCCCCAGGAACAGCGTTAGACCATATCTTAGAAAAATACAGCAAAAGAAAGCTAGAAAACGGATCCTTTTGCATATGAGTCAATCAAGCGCACCCACGAAAGTGTCGGACCTCAGTTAGAGGGAGACCTATACTGCGCTATGACTGGCCATCTGTGTATTCAGGGCATGGCTTAGCGAAGGGTCAATTCCTACATTAGTCCGAAAGAGTTTTACTGTACATTTGCTTTGTCTTATTATCAGCCTGTCAGTCATCGGTAAAGTACTTTCTCTGTTTCCCCTAGGATTTCTTTCAGGGGGGGTGGTAGAACCCCCCGAAACTGGTGTTGTCGTAGACGGGGCACACTAATTTTGCCTGTTGTAGGCTTGTCACCTTCTCCGTTCTTCTTTGACATTTTTACCACTAAGGTTATTACCTCCTAATGGAGCTGAATACAGTTGTGCTACATTCACATATTGGGCGGATTGACCACGGATACGGCCCTATGAAAGCCATTTTAATTTGCTGCCAGATTCTGTTAAATTTTTTCCCAAATTCCATGTTTTCCGTTTACGTGTTTTACAATTAAGGCACATTTAGTCAGAATGGCTTGATTTGACCGATTGAATGTAGCGTTACATAAAGCAGTTGCTTAAAGCAGTTTAAATTAATCGGGTTGCATCAAAACTCCACACTGATTTGGTAAACACAAAGCAATGCTTTTTGGCATTTTCATAGCAGACATTCTGACTTAACTTGCTGCTACTAATATTTATAATAAATATTATAATAAGTGTGGCTTTATTCTATTAAAGTGTCCCAGCAAACCATGACGATGTGATAGTGAGCCAGCATGCACAACACTAGAACCCTGAAACTGAAGCAGCTAAATGGGATTCAGCCACCTGTGCTTTTCCCAATGTGACATGTCAAAATGACTATTCTAGCTTGCAGTGGTGTACTTGACACTAGAGTTAATTACTTGTTATTCACAGAAAAATGTCTTTACACAACAGTAGTAAATTAAAAAAAGTTAGTCACCACAAGCTGAACAGCTGAAGGGTCAGTAAGATCAAGCATCAAAGTAAGATGTTTTTTGTTGTTCAACCCCTCCTGTCAACTCTTACCTCTTCCTCCTCGGCCACTCTCGATTCCCTGAGGGCTGTTGGGAAAACTCGTGGGGTAAATGTGACTTGAATATTTCCAACAAGTCTTGGAGCAGGCAGGTCCGCTTGTTTTTTCTTGCTTTTTGCTTCACTATTGCAATTATGATCTAAACACAGTAATGTGGTCATTAGCATACCAAAGCCAACTAGTGTAGGAGCATATCTGAGCACACAGGAAATGACTTACCCAGTTTGACCTTTCCTCCAGCTGAACATCCGCCTTCCTGCTTCGCTGTCATGGCTTTCGGTTTGTTTTGATTGCCTCTCTGACTCTGAAGTTTTAGCTGGCCTTCTTTCTCTGATTTTTCATTCTGTCTCAGTTGCCATGCTTCCAGCTCTGCTGTGGTTTTCTCTCGCTCAGTGTCCTTCATTTTCTGGATACTGTCTCTTTCCTCCTTTTCAAGCTGAGATCAAGTAAAACATACAAGTCCTTTTACATTGCACAGCATATTTCCAATGGTCATTTTGTGGGATTTATGGGTAGAGTGTGGCGTCACTGAGTATGTTACCTTCATCATTGTCTGCAGTGCGTATTGTTTCTCTGCATGCTGTTTCTCTGCCTTGGATCTGGAGTCTGAAGAAAGCTTTTCCTGGTATTTCAACAGAGCCCTTTCTCTGACCTCCTTTTTCTTTTCTCTATCAACTGAAACACATCGCCTTATAATGGTTAATTAATTGTATCAGAAACTTCAAGTCAAACAAACAAGAATAAGTCTTAGAACCACAGTACCCTTCTGAACTGAAGAGTTTGTTGATCTTTAACTATTTTAGTTAGAATGCAGAAAGTCAGATCAATCTCCTGTGGTAGAAACTGTGTGGAGTTACAGATGGCCATGACAGGTGGGGAGAATGGAATGGCATTCCGTGTTCAGTAAAGATAGGGAGTATGGTCGTCACATTTGGACACATGCCCAAGACCCCTTAGCGTCAGTTTGTAATGTAGTGGGAACCCTTTAGCTAAAGGTGTAATACAGAAGGGCAAAGAGGAGGTGGTTGGAGTGGTTGGGGTGGACAGGTGGGCCAGAAACTTCACAACATCCTTGTAAAAGAGATTAAAAATCTCAATGGATTTCTTTCCTGGTAAAATAAAAAATTAAAATTAAAATTAAAAAAGAAAGCGGACTTTAACCCAGGAGACCAGTGTTATTTTCCCGTGCGAAAACTTTCTTTAGAGAAATACGACTGATGTGTGTATCTCACGCATGAGTGGAGGTGTTCAAAGAGGTGTGAAAATAAGAAGAGGGTCAAGAGTTATCATTTTTTAAATCTATATTATTTGAGTTTATAATATTCATTAATACATTTAAAACTTGTTTTTTGAGATAACATATTTTATATGTATCCCCTGATGATGAATTGGTTTGATCAGCAAAGAATGCACAATTTGCTAATGTGACACACCTAACTTTAATAGCTGTTAAAAGACAAGCACCTTCATTTTGTGACTATAGGAGCAGGGGAGGCCTTTCTCTCCTTTTGAAGTCAGAAAGAGATGAGGAAAATAGAATGAGTGATGACATGAATTGATTTAATGTATTTGGAGTGATGCATTTAAAACAGATTTTCTTTTATTTGTGCATGCATTTAAGATTATGTAAGAGAAGGTATGTTCATTTATTTTGTTTGAGAAGTGTGGCCTACTATATTTAGCCTTAAACATTTAAAGGATTTTACTAACATGAGTTATAGAGACCTGCATGATATGTTTGTTGTTGTTTGCAGCAACATGGCCCTTTAAGGAGCTCATTCCAGGTTATGTGTTCAGCGCCCTGCTCTCTGGAATCTAAAGCGAGAGGGGAAGAGGGGTTGACTAGGGAACTTTTAATACAGAAGGTCAGGCCAGCACCTAGTGTTGAAACTACCAAGCATAGATTGGGTGGTGACTTGTGTGGACTTTGGATAGCCAGATATCCCAGAACTCATTTTGTGTGAACAAGCGGCAATGGAGAGGACCCACAACTGTTTACAAAAGTGTGCAAACATTTGTGCTTAATTTTGGGTACTCCCAACCCACACACACAAATACAGACAAATATCCAGCATTTTGAACTCATCTAAACAGTTTTACTAATGCACACATCACAACTTGAATAAAGGTTCATATTTTATGTACAGCATATTTTAACTTCAGGTTCAAAGATCTAAAGCTTGCCGTTTATGCATTTCCATTTTCTTTTGAATTTTCATTACAGATTGTTAAATGTGTGCGCACGGATCAAGTTAAACTTGTGCCTGAGAATCTTTTGATGGTGTCCAGCTCCACGCAGATTAACAAATGCATGCTGTATTTACATGTTGGTGGAAAACTGGGCTTTAAACTGTTTAGTAAAATGACTACAAGGTCAGCTGGATGCTCTTACTTGTAGTTATCATCAGATGCTCCCACACTGTGTTGGTCCTCTTAGGCAAACTGAGCACTACACATCCATTTCCAACCTTTGCTGTGCTTCTGGTATCATCAACAGGTTCAAACAGGAAGGCTTCAAACAGGTATGGTGGGTAGTGCACCTGTGCAGCAAATAAAGTGGAAAACATTTCATAGACACTGAATGGGGGAACAGTACCTTTCAAAAATCTTGCACTTAAGATCGTAGAGAACTAAGTTACCTTAACTAACGTTATGTTATTGATCTACAAAGAATGAAACACGAGTGTAGCTCAGTTGTAAAAATGTAAATGTTACTGAAATGTAGCGTGTGTCAAATCTAAATGAACGCAATCACAGTTATGTTGTTGTGTCCAGTTTATGTCCTTTAGTGGCGCATTTCTACGTAACTTAGACCGAGTCATTTAAAATGGGGTGAGTGGGACCAACATATACACCAAGTCTACTACTGTTCTTAGCTAACTTTACCTTGAGATATTCATCTGTAGACAGGATGTCCACTTTCCCAACTGTCGCTCCTTTTAAAGGCACACTTATATAAACCGTCGAATCTGTCTGTGTCCATGAGTAGTCGGTCACTAGCAAAGGCATTATTCGGCACAGCTAACCTTTGAGTGTCAACCTCCGTGTGTAAGTTGTGCCAGCAGCTACTTAGAAATGGCGGCTCTCCGACTTCAGTTCACTAATTGCGCAAAAATATAGATGTAGTTGGGTGAAAAGTAACTTTGCTACAAGAGACGATGAGTCGTGAATGTTTCATCTGGTCCTGCTGCCTCGCGGCGTCTCGTTGCTATGGTGACCAGAGAGCCATCATGCTGCCTTCACGTTGATCGGAGGAAATGAGAGTTGTTATCGTACATGGGCTCTTCTCATTTCTCCGCCACCTTGAAGGGCGTATCACTTCCTAAAATGCGTCTTGGGGAGACAGGAGATAGGATTCTTGCTGGTGAATGAGTGAGGATTCAGCGGCGGTGATAAGTTTAATTACCATGGCTATGGCACGACCCTCTTGAATAAACCTAACCAACCCATCCAATGAAGGCAACGAGTACTAGCCAATCAGAGATTTTTATAGGTATTTTAAGAGGTAAAGTACCAGGTGAGCTATAATCTGTGAAATAGAACTCTTCTGAATGAAATCAACTAATTTCAGGGCAGAAATAACCTTTCAGTCAATAACAAAAGGCTTCAATCATTTTCTGACAAGTGAAATACTGCATTTTATGAGTTGTATTGGCCATTTAAAGGTATTTTAACAGGTAAAAAAGAGTGGATTGGTTGCTAGGTCTACACAGCAAGTTAAATAATGCAGAGTCAAAAGGATAATTGCAAAATTGTCTTCATTTTATATCTAAGTTGGCAGTAAGTCATTTTAATTAGGCCACAGCCCCTTTTCCAAATATAAACAAAGATATTACACATAGGCCTACCAAACATCAGTTTTCAGCGGAAAATCTCTTTTCGGCACGACACCAGCTTGGCAATGTGCTCCTCTAGGCCTACTGAAGTAAAAGTGAAATTTGAAGGGATAGTAAATGATTGTAATGCAATACACTTTTTGTTAAATTCATGGAATATTTCCACATGGTTTGCTAGTTCTCCATTTTGTGTGTGCTCTGAAAAGAAAATCCAGTCCCCCCCTCCCCCCAAGCCCTGGTTCTGTGAATGGCTCACAAAAAAGTGGTGTGGACCTTCCCCACAACATTGTTTGCCCCAATCAGCAACAGGTGGTGTGAGGGCTTGTGCACAGGAGCAGTGTCTTCCGCCCCAAGGGACTTTATTTCAGAAAAAATATGTATGGTAGTCAATGGCAAAAGGCAGAGCATTTTTGGATCCCATTTGAATTGTGCCCTGATGTTTGTCAGTTTAAAAGATAATTTTGCGAGTCAAGAAAGTTGCAGGTTGGCGTAAAACAGTAAAGTTAGTTTTGTGTGAAAACCACTACTACTAGGAAGTCAGACACAGAACGACATAGAGAATCCGGTCAATTTTCCACAATATTGTAGGCTATATCAACAATGAACACAATTAAAACAGACAAAATATGAAACCATTTAACTACGTAGTCTACTTAACCATGGTAAATGCATAAAAATCAAGGACTAATTAGAGGCAAATCGTTCTGCTTCTGAAATGCTCCCTGTGGGGTATGAAGCCCTGCAGGGGACAAAACCAGCTTAAATAACTTGCCTTGTGTGCCTTGGGGTGGCTGTGGCTCAGGAGATAGAGCGGGTTGGCCGTTAATCGGCGGTTCAATCCCCGGCTCCTCCAAGCTACATGATACTGAACCCCAAATTGCCTCTGGCGGCTGTTCCACCAGTGTATGAATGTGTGTGAATGTTAGTTTCTGTTGTGTGTGTGTGTGTGTGTGTGAATGGTAAATGCAGATGTAGTGTAAAAAAGCGCTTTGAGTGGTCTAGAAAGGCGCTATACAGTACAGAGCATTTACTTGTAAAATAAAGTTAACGTAAAATAATAATAACTAAAAAAGAGCCGTGTAGTAGTAGGACAAAAGGAAAAATTAACAACTTGTCAACCAAGTAAGGCGCTCTGCTTCTGACAGACTTCTGGTGGGATTTGAAGCTGTGCAGAGGATGGAACAATTAGGACTGGATAGACAATTAGTAGGATGGACTGGATAGAGGAACCTAAATCACAAACTCAAAGGGTCTCCATGACATAACGTTGTGTCTCCAAACCTCATGGAAATTAAGAAAGCTTCACCTTATATCTAATCAGTGAACTCTGACTTTGACCTGACAAAGTCAGAGAGCGGCCTACTGTTATCAGTATTGCAGAGATAAAAAAAAGGCCAGAGATAGTGTCACAATAGCCAAGGTGATATTTTATTGGCTTTTATTGACTTTTTCTTGTAAAATCAAGATCTTATCTGTTCATGCTCACTTACTGGATTCTGTTGTGAACTCCCACATCATATCATGTTTCCTTAACAACAACTTATAAAACAAGTAATACAATCTGAAGCACTGAACAGATTTGTCTTGGCAGGCTTTTAATAATGCAGTCTATCGCAACAGACAGTTTGAGTCATGTGAGATAAACTTTTAAACATGGGCTATATTTGGTAAACGGTATAGCGCCTTTCTATTTTATTGCCCCTTGAGACTGGAAAAGAACAATGAACTGCAGCTGACTCCAGTGTGTTTCTCACTGTCATACAGCAAAAGCCATAAACTATCAAGGGCTGTGATATGGCAATATATCAAGGTGTACTAAATACTGAAAAAACATTTTGAATTAATGTACACTGCACAAAAGGGACATGGGGGAGAATCATCATCTGGACGTCAGGTGATCTAAAGTAGTATGAACATCACAGAAAGTAATTGTGTGGGTTAATATTAATTAATGATAAACAGAAAAAAGACAGAAGAGTGACTGACTAATATTTAAATTAGTGTATAGTGTCTGTATATCCCTGCTTAAGTATTATTCTAACTTGGAGGTGCGGCAGTAACAGGGGTCTCATCTTTCATAACTCTTCAGCCATATTATTATTATTATTAATTTAAGACTTACATGAAGATGTTCTGCTTATATGAAGATGTTCTGCTAAAGTAACCCTTTTCTCAATGTAGCAAAGCATGCAAATGGAGCTTTTTAATACAAAGAAAGTATCTGGCCTTTAGCTGCCTTTTGGCCAAATTTCCACAATCCTCTAATTTTTGATTTTTACACAAATTCTTGTGGTCTTGTCTTCCTAAAAGGACTGTAGCTACAATAAATTAAAGGGCATATGGAGACCTAAAGTATAGTTCTATGATTTTAAAATAATAGACACTGTATCCTTATATTTGACAATTTCTAGCCACGAAAAATGAAAAAACACGTGAATGAATAAGTAAAAATTTTTTTCCCCACCAATATGTACTTCTAGCCACCAGCTGAAAGTATGTTTGAGTATAAGGTCAACACTTAATGCTACATTGTTTCACACTAAACCTACTACTTTGATTAGTTGCACCATCTGCTACGTATGTTACAACCATCCTTTAAAGATTGAGTGACATTTCCCCATATTCCTAGTCTTGACGTGAAGCTAACTGCTGACTCCAGCTACATATTTACCAAACAGGTATGAGAGTGGTATCAGCTGAACTATCCTTGCGCAATGTTTTTCTGTTAACAAAGCTCGCATTTCAAAAATCCGAGTGACAAAATGCAGAAAGTGTAGAAAGTGTATTTAAACTGATGGATTCCTGCTTGTGAATATCTAGGTCACCGCAGAAGAATTATTCAAATTGTATTATGGGCTTTTATGTGTAAAAGTTAAAAGTACACTAAAATTATAATTAATACTCAGTAATTATAAGTATGAAGATATGTGACAGAGCCAGGTGTTCCCAGCGTTAATGTATCACCTGGGACAATAAATGGGAGGGGAGTTGCTACCCATGGCTACATAACAGAGGTTCACCTTCCATGCATGTGCTGTCTCAGTGTGGGGTTCCAACGCAAGCTGACAACATGGGGAAAGGTTTCTACATCAGTAAAGCTGTTGGGATAGTTGCTTTCATCCTGTGTGCAGGGGCCCTGGCTACCATCATAGCGCTCTCTGTTGTTTACTCCCAGGAAAAGGCTAAAAATAATAATCCTGTCTCACCAACGGATGGAGGAATAACATCCAAGCCCACCGTCACACCGTCAACGACTGGAGGAACATCCGTCACACCTGCCCCGTCCAATGAACCTTGGGACAAGTACCGGCTGCCCAAGAGCCTGGTGCCAGACCACTATAACCTCACCTTATGGCCGCGACTGACTCAAAATGAGACAACTAAGCTCTACATCTTTACCGGTAAGGCATTGTGTGTGTAATACTCGTGGCTAATCCTCAGCAGCCAGATGTTTTTCTTTCCTACAAAGTAGTCGCATTCACCTATTAAAGAAACAAAGAATAAACTCGCATAAAACCATTATGTAAAAAATACATTTTACAATCCATGTCCACACCTGATCCACCAATACAGGTTTGTAAATTAAATCCTTGAAGTTGAAGTTGAGTGCAATCCTACAAGTTTCGAAAAGGTCATTAAATTTTATATACTGTATAAGATAAAAACTCTATGGCAACAACACTAACCTGGGAGCGTGAGGGAGGTGTGAGTTAGCAATAGTCTGTACGGATGTTGTGAAGATTCTCATCCAGGTCATATTTTTCCAAGGAAGGTTAAAATCAAGGGCAACTGGACCTGTTGAAGATACTCTTGTCTAAGAGGTGAAACATCTTCAAGTATCTTCTACCAGCTCCAGTTGCCCTTGATATTAACCTTCCTTTGGATACATAGTAAAAACACCCAGACAGTCTGGAAAAGAGGTTAACTGAGCCAAAATAATGGGGTGTACATGCTTGGGCTTTGAATTTGCTGTCACACACTTCTAAGTAAATTGGATCATGGGTATTTCATACCAATTTGAACTGCAGATATATGATATAATGGTGGGAAGACCCTGCATCTCTGTGTTCATCTTAAAAGTATAGCACAACACACAAAAAGTTCACTCTTGTTCTTAGAATGAGCAGTTGACTCAACTCAAGGTCCTTATTCGCTTGTTCTGGAGCTCTACTGGACTCCATGCCGGCACACCCTGATTGGTAGCGAGAATTGTTTCCGTGCACAGTTTTGCCTTCAGCTCTGAGCGTCCAAGTCCTCTCAAGCGTGTGATCCTGCCGACAACGCCAAAATTCTGATGGCAATTCAAGTTTTCAAATAAACAGCTCAGGCAAGCACTTGTCTTTCTGTGAATTTTATTCATGTCTTCTGCAGAAGGAACTCACTGCAACACACATACGCTGAATACATGCATGCTCGAATGAGTGAGGAGAGCTGAGGGAGCCTGTTATTTCTCCAGCTTTAGGGTCAATCATATCATCCCACAGAGACACGTTGTCCCTGTAGTCTGGATAACACAGAGAACAGAGATATTTCGACGGTTACGTTTACACAGATTCAGTGCCACATCACACGAGTCTGCCTGAGTCCAGGGTTACATGCAGTATCTTTGGAATTCCCATTACACAGTACTTCCTCAAACATTACGTTGCTATGGGAAATGTATTTAAAAAATGTCAACTTGTTATGAATAAAGAAAAACAGCTCTGTTTTTAGCTTTGTGGCAGTGGGTATTTCAGATAATGGGTTTTTAATGGTATATATTGCTTAATATGAAGGGGAACTTTCTCATAGCATTATGAATACCTTAATCCTTTGGGTTATTAAAACATTTTAAATCACCAAATATGCGGTGATATATAAGCTACAAAAGGTCTAGCTTTATTTTAATTTGACATTGTACATTCAGTACTTTATATATTAGATGTTTTTTATTCTTAAATGCTCACAACTTACTGACATACAACTGGTGCTGAGGTTTGTCAGTGGGCATTGCTTTGTAGTAATGGGTTACAACTCATAAGGTGACTGAACACACAAACAAAGAATTATGTAAATAATTTATTTGGATTCAGATTTCCAATTTCCACCATTTGTGTCAGTTACAGGAATAAGAAAATTGGGGTTGGGTAGAGC